AACTCTTGCGCAGCTTTGAGCACGCAGACCGAGGACACCAATACTGCTCCTGCACCCGCACAGCAACTCTCAATTGTCGGGCTTGCTTTGCAGTCCGCTGCGGAGCCCGAACAAAAGACCACGGTCCTTGTCAGAGATCGGCGTGATGTGCTAGACAAGATACTCGCTAAAAACTGGTATGAGGCTATATGGCTTCCAGGTGTGAAAACGAGTCTTGGCAATCATTGTGCTTTCTGCGGGCAGTGGCTTACCTCTCGAAGCGGTTCTCTGGAGAATCATCTCCGACACTCGCATCCTGCAGTGTACACAAAAAGTGCTGAGGTACAGTCCATGTGTCGCACGGTTCACTACACACGTTCAAGTCCTTGTGGAGCCTGTGGTGCTACGTTTGCACGAGGAACAAAGCATCAGTGCACCTTGCTGAAGCATTTGTGCTACATGAAGCTGAACCATCCTGACCGCCAGACTCCTGAGAGCCTCTCTTCTCATATACATGGATCCTTCGACCGGGCCACTCACACCTCTCCAGGAGGTGCAATCTCTGCTGAAGCATGCAGTGCCTATGAGTGTGGACCCCAGCCTGGGGAAGAGGGACAATCAGGAGAACTTACAGGCTCAGCTCGAGGACCAGACGAAGCCCAAGTTTCAGCGGCCGGTCTCGAAGGGATCGGGGGGCAGCGGCAAGGGCTCAGCTCCCAACACGCCTCAGGAACTTCTTCTGGCGAAGGCCCAAAAGATCCTTTGGTGGCAGCGGCAGCAGCCTTTGCTGCGACCAAGGAGGGAAGCCCGAACAAGGAGGCGGCAACCCGGACAGGCCAGCTACCAGCTCGGTCACAGCAAAGGGGCCAGGGATGGCGAGGGCAACAGCAGCAGGGCTATCGGCGAAACTGGTCACAGGGAGGATGGGGCCAACATCGCAGACAAGGCCAGGGCTACAATCAGCATTCCAACGCGGAGCACGCACTGGAGGAAAGCCTGAGAATGGTGGCAGGCTTGTGTCTTCGTCACGAGGACGAGTTGGCTCAGACCCGGCTGGATCGCGATTTTGTTATCACGATGGAGACCCGGGAAGGTGCGGTACTCAGCAAGCTGTTTTCCCTGGCACTGCAATGGAAGACGAGCAAGGAGGCCGGAACAGTGGACTGCTCGCTACGGCTGGCATTGTTTCTGGGACTTCTGGAGATTTGGCTGGCGAGGCTAAAAGCACTGGGATCGGACTCCCCAGAAGCCTTGGCCTTGAGGGAGCAAATTCGGGAGCAGGGACATGCCTACAACAAGGACGGCATGCCGGAGACGGAGCTCCATTGGCCCTATGTGAAGTGGGATGCCGAGAAGGAGAAATCGATACCGGTTCCGAACACGGAGCCGCTCCTGCAGAGCCAGATCGTGGAGAGCCTGGTGCTGATCCAACAGCTCGCGGGGGCCCCGAACGTGTTGCTCAAATTTCACTCGACGAGGCGAATGGTGGAGAAGTACGAAGGGGAGACGGTCACGTTTCTGCTGACAATCGGTATGCGAACCCCCCAAGCCTCACAGATGTGGGGTCTTCTGACCACGATGTGCGGGAACACATGTGGCAAAGTCGTGGGCATGCGGCTACGTCCAGCCAAAATGGAGCGCCAGCCCTTGGCACGGATCCTGGCGGAGCGCTTCCCGCCTCCAATGAGGAGGGAGATTGGGGCAGGATTCTCGAGCAAGCTCGAGCACGGTGGCACGCAGATCACGGGGGCAACGGAGGAGGAGAAGGCGAACAAGGAGACCGAGCCTGGCCACTAAACCCTCTGGCCCCCTCAGGGGGGTTGGGCTCCCATGGCCTCGTGAGGCCCTCAGCAGCTCACTATCGCATGCCGAACTTTGTTCTGCAGAATTTTACCAATGTGTGTTACATCAATGCATGCTGTCACATGCTCTACTACATGGGGAATCATGATGATGGCTCATACTCCTTTGGCAGACTTCAGCACGCGATGAACAGCATCCCTAAGGAAGGCATGGCACATCTTGCTTCTTTGTCATCCTGGGCACCCGCCTTGGTTGGATGGTCAAGGATTCCCCAGCAACATGATGCTGCCGAGTTCATGAACCACCTCCTCAACTACTCTCGACCTTTGGCTTTTCAAGGTGGGTGGCAAGCTCGTCGGTCTGCTGAGGAAGTTTCATCAAGACTTGTGGTGACTGATGCAGGACATTGTTTCAACCCTCTGGTCATGGACATCCAAGGCCACACGCTGCAACATTGTGTATTTGATTGGCATTTTCAGCAGGCTTCTCTTCATGCTCTGACTATGCCTCCGCCTAAGTGTCTCGTGCTGAACTTGAAGCGATACGGCTATCGGACGGGTGCTGTGGTCAAGGATTACTCCCCAGTTGTAGTCCCGGCTGGATCCTTGGTGAGATTGCCGTGCTTTCTCAACGATGATGATGACAGCACCTGCATGATCTTGTATGAAGTCGTAGCGATCGTCTATCACCTAGGCTGTGCACCGACGTCGGGTCACTATCGCGCAGCAGTGATGGCCGTCAATGGAACATCTGAGTCTGGGAATGCACCCTCTTACTTTCTCTCAGATGACAATGTTGGTCTTCAGCACGCTGGGCAACGACATGTAGACGTTGATTGTAATGGCTATCTGTTTGGTCTTAGAAGACTTGAGGGAAGTCGCACATAGGGTCTGTAAAACACGGACCCCCTTTTGGAGTCTGCTTAGTGCTACGGCACGGGACTCCCGTTTTGCGATACATGTACTCAACAACGGACAGTGCCATTGTGCACTGCTGCTATCGTCGATAGGGCGTGGAGCAGCCGGATTCCTAAGAATCTGGTCCACTGGACGCATAGCCTCGCCTGACGTGGCTGCGATGCAAAGTCAAAGTCAAAAGTAGTAGTAGTAGTAGTAGTAGTAGCAGTACTAGTAGAGGAGCGGGCAGTAGCAGTAGCAGCAGAAGTAGCAGTAGCAGCAGCAGGCAGCAGTCGTCGTCGTAGAAGTAGTCGCAGCAGTAGTGTGCGAGCAAACATAAAGATAGGTAGTGCGAGTAAGCATTCATTCATTTCTTCTTCCAGTCGCTGTGGACTTATTCTGCCTTTGACTTCAGCAAACATGTGCGACCGAATTCGGCCGTTTGACACAGAAAAGCTTTGCATGTGGATCGGGACCCTCAAGCCTTGGTTGCAAAGGATCTAACTGCTATTGATAGTAGCTGGCTCCGAAGCCTTCACTCGCCGTGAGGCAACATTACGCAGAATCCACCTGAATCTGTCGAAGCTTCACCTACGGACTGCTGTCCTATGCACATATCGGTGCAAGGCCGGCAATGCTGTTAACACGTTTCAGGGCAGATGTCGGAGAGTCCCCAAAAATGACTTCTGATGCATTCTAGGCGTTGCAAGGCTCTCGATGTCTCCGAACAATTGCTCAAATGTTCAGACTCGCCCGAGCCTGAACGTGGACCATCTGGTGATGGAACTCCGGGTTGTTGAAGCTGCGCCTCGGTGGGCAAAATGCGACTCTTACACTCGGTCTCCAGGCGAGGAGAATGAGGTTGGGGTTTAAACCTCGCAAAACATGTCCTTGACCAGTGTCACGTGTGCACGAACAGGGCCTTATTTGTGGCCAGGCTACACCCCTTGCCGTAAGGGCAAGTGTGTGAGACAACTTATAACGGTTTACGCATGTGTCGTGGAAAATAGTAGCTGGTAAGATCAGCAGCGACAGCAAAACAGGTAGAACTTGCGTAGCATATGGCAACTGAAAATACGATAACAATCTTCCACCTATACAGCAACGGCATCAGCTTCAAGCAAACAGTTAAAAGGCTCCGAGATTCGACGATGGCAGTAGGCAGCGGCATCGTGCCACATTAGTACGCGAAATGCCAGTAGTCGTAGCTTTCGCAGTACGCATGGAAACAAATGCCGTAAGTTAAGCAAAGGCATCAGTCACAGCACTCTCCGGTATCTACAGCAACAGGCCAGAGCAAGGAAAACAAATCCTGGCAGTGTTCTTGCTCACGCCCAGGAGCAATTCTAATGGTGCCGCTACGCCTGGTTAGTTATCCTAGTAGCTCTGAAGCCTACGTGCTGCAACCGAAATGCTTTGAAACTCGTTCGTAAACCCTGTGACTGCAAGCGCGTCGCCTTGCCGCCACTGTGACAAGCAGCAGTGTCACCATCACCTCGGACAGGCTTTGTTTACCCGAACCATTCCCGGCCTCTCGACTGCTCAGGCCTTCCGGGCTCTCCATCCGCGGGCTCCTTTTCCTGTGTTTCTGACGCTGAACAAGTCATGCGCCCCGGATGCCTGCACTTTCCGCACGTCAGGCGATTAAAAGACTGCATGCAACATGCCAGTGCCTTTACACTTCACTCGAACACACACACATAGATACATGTAGATGGATATGTTTCAGATGTGTTATATTTACATAGACTTTTTTGCTTGGTGGGGCTTTGGGGCGAAAGCAGGACGAACCTGAGGTCTTACCAAGGCGAACGCCCATGCCGATTTACCAACCTAACACTTTGGGCAACAACCTCACGTCGCAGATTCAAAGTAGGGATGTGGTACGTAGAGGCCGAGATATGTAAAAGATCCATCGAAAGAAGCCCGCAGAATCGAAGGCACAAATGGTGAGGCATTACTCTCATCCGGCCTTTCCTGCTGGGCTGCGTGTTACCTAGACCTAGTGAGTACAAACCAACGAGGCAACCCAAAACCTGCAGCCTGCTCAAAGCTATAAAAGCTGGAGCCATGAAGCGTTAAACCCCCAAACCCCTAAAATTCGATTGAAGGCCCTAACCCCCGTGCTTCGAGAATCCAAAATCGGAGGGATGCTATCAGGGTTTACGTACATAAATATATGCGTATATATGGTTGAAGAAGCGCTCGAGAAGTTTTTTTTTATGTGGGCTCAGCAAGGCTTCTTATGAGGGCTTGAAGATGGTTAAACAAAGGCTCTTACAGAGGCTTGTGATATGGGATTCATGGGGCTTCTTCAGGGCTCTAGGATTGCCGGCATTTGAGGTATTCGTATGCATTCTTTGCTTTGTTGCGCCAAGATGCGATGCAAAGAGCGAGGATGCCCAGGTCAGGACGCATCCTCGAGTCGGACTTCAAAAGCCACCAGGTGTCTGAAGTTCCAATGCCCAAGGCCCAAAATGCTGAAACCTAAACCCTAAACCCTCATAACCCCTCCTAAAACCCTGACACCCCCAAAACCGCGAAACCTGAAAACTGTTGCCTCCTTTGACACCTCCCGCATCGACCGCTGTGTAATCGCAGCCGAACCGGAAAACTAGGCTGCGAAAGAACTTGAAGTATCACTTTTTCCAAACGTTACCCTTGTAGTAATCCTTACTCTGTCATCCCTAAAGGCCCCTAATAGGCTTTCAAACCTCGTCTCAGCTGCCGAAGAGCTTCAGGGCCTCTCTCGTGCGGCTTTCCGCTGCATGAAGCCTCCGAAGGCTTAGCCCGAAACCCAAACCTGGATATTGCCGGAAAAATGTCACTTTTCCGGAATTGGGTTGAGAGTTTAGGGTTGGGAGGGGGAGCACAAACCCAAACGGGGCAGCAGCTAGTTCGTGGTGGGCTTAGGATGGAACTTTACGGATTTCAGGCGTCAGGTCGTGAAGAAAAGCAGAAACACGACACGAGCAACAGTCCTCTCATCCACGTCAAACCGCCCGATTAGATGCCCTTTGCGTCGCTGTCAAACAACGTTGCCTGGTACTGGCTTCATCCAACTGCGACTGCAGTGTGAAGATCTGCTTCGATTTCGCCTGCAAGTCAAGAGCAAGGGCTTTGCTTTAATTGCATTGCACGCGTACACAAGGAGCTTGCAGCACAGAGTGTCACCTTTCGTCCCTATGCTGTCGAAGGGCTGCTACATATGAGCTCATCTCGAAATTCCCTCCTTTGGCCACTTTGGCGGCCTCGTGCTCCCTGAGAAGCTCACAGGAGTCGGCCAGATGTTGGCCTGGGAGCTCCGTTTTCTTCTCTTTTTCTTTCTCGCGATACTGTTACGCCTGCATCGTCCCGCCCTCGCCGCTGCATTTTTTTATGTAGACGTCTGAAACTGGCATGCCTCAGAGATGTATCGTGCATCCTTCAGGTCCCTTCTCCAGCTCCCCTTGAATTCGAGTCGCGAAGCGTCTCGAATTTGAGAAGTCCCTTCTCGAATTCGACTTCGAGGCTCTTAGACCGTCAACCCCTGACGAAGCCATGGGAACCAACTCACATGCATGGGTACGAAAAACACCTGCACATGTCTGAATCAGTATATCGGCGCATGTATGTATGTATGTATGTATGTCATGCATATGTGTATATGTGCACTATGTGCTGCAAACACATACGCCCACGCCTGTCAACAAACACGAATGTGTCCTAAACTCCCACTTCATGTTGCTTGCTCCAAAGGCGCCAAGCTCATCGGCATCTTGGCGCATGAACCTTTGATGATCGCCGGAGGCGTCGGCAGGAGTGGTGTCAAAAAGAACAAGTTTCGGATGTGAGAGTTGCCGAGCATGTCTTGCTTCATCTGTCGGTTTTTGTAACGCAGCCAGCCTTCATGCCTTCATGATTATGGTCTCCGTCTTTGCTGCTTGGCTCTGCTGTTGCCGTCTTGGTGCCCCCAGCGGTATGTTGATTTACGATTGTCATTTGTGTGTGCTCCGTTTGTTTCTATACCGCTGCTCGTGCCTTTTGCAACTTGCCTGGCCACAATGGCCTTCCGCGGCCACGACAACTGCAACAACAAAAAACATGTTGTTCAGTGTTTTCTTTGCATAGAGGTCCACGCAGATGAGGCTGTCTAGACATGTAGCCGAACTGCTACATTTGTCACCCAACCTGAACAAGAAGCGCATCGTAACCACAACAAGCACGCCCCTCCCAAATGACAAAACTTTCACGCTTCGGCACCACCAGACTGCCCCAGCAGGGGCATCCACCGACACAGCTGTCGCACTGAGGCCACCAGGACCGTCCAGTATGGTACCTGTTGTCCGACAGGCGGAGTTTTCTGGACCAAATTCATTGGAATTAGCATTCAGAACCCCCCCCACCCTACTTAAATCAAATGCTGGATACGATGCTGCCCCAGATCGATGCCAAGGCTCGCAGCGACTTCATGTTTGTAATTCTACATCCACCAAGGCTGGCTCTGCAGTCAATTTGCCACCTGCCGCGTCAGAGCACGGCTGAGCTCGGGCGAGTCTGGTTACTCAAGACGATTTCAGAGGGCAGCCTCTTACAAACAGCACGACTGTGGCAGTGGTTCGTGCCTCGTCCCCTTGTCCCGAACACGCAGCAACGCCCAAATCTGGCTTAGGGTTGAAGGTTTAGCGCAGGGCCTGGGCGCGTCAACATTCCATGGGGTCAAAGATGAGTGGATGACTGATACGATTGAAGGAAGAAGGAGAAAAGCCCCGATGTGCCTCACAAATACATACTGCACACCCCAACACTGAACCACCTTTGATCACGGAAGACGGGCGTGTCGCCATCCAGGATGTAAAACCCACGTTCGCGGTCTGCTCCCTGCTGCGCGTAGACCCTTGCCTCAAGCGCTGCACAGGTTCAGCTGAGGATTCAATTAAGATCTGGGTGCCTTCTTCAGTTCCCCGAGCAATCCGGATCCTCCTTTTCAGCCTCTGGATTTTTGGGTAATCTGACTGCTTGAATAATCAGTAGATTCGGGGCGCCTTATTCCGGGCTCGGCTCCATACAATCAGGATCCTCTTACTTCGCTCTGGGTTTTGCTTTGTTAGTCCATATGCATCCGGATTCTAAAAGGACAAGGCAGAGGCCAGGGATAGCCAATATCGGGGCCTTGATACTTTCAGCAGGGTTTCGAGTACATGACTGTAGGGTCTGTAATGGATAATGGTACTACTGTAGTTATTTCGGCTTCTGTGCTAGGCCAGTTACGCCAGCAGTGACGAACGAACGCTTCACGAGGCTGAGTGGTGAAGCCTCAAGCCTGCTGTTGGAACCCTTCCCTCCAAATCCAAGTTCTCCATGCTTTCTCCGGATCCCCACGACCGCAAAAAACCGGCAGCACATCTGGACACCTGTTGCCAAGCGGCCCCTGTGGCCACGTTCTGCAGTACGTGCGTTGCATTTGCGTCTTCCAGGACGTGCCACATGCTGGTGCTGCTCACGCTGACCTGTCTTGCCGAACTGAGCAGGTGGGTTAAGGCTTGCTTATTTGGTGTCCCTATAACAAGGATCCTGCCCCAGTGAAGAAAGTCTGGTCGCAAGACGATGCAAAGAGCCTGGAGAGGGCTCGCTGTGCAGCGGAACAGGAACACAGAACTCGAGACCGGGAAAACGGCCCTGACAGTGCCAAATAAAGCGATATGATACGGGTACACCAGCAAATGGGGTGGTATCTTGTTCTTGCAGGGCCCGATGCCAGGTGTCACGAAGGATCCCACTATCTTGGGTAACTCCTATTTGCTGAAATCCCCATTTTTCGCGGTTAACCTTGTCATCATGGTAAGTCTCAAATACGAAACCCGACACTAAACGCCCTGAAACCACCGTTTCCTACCCAGTCATTCAATGCCAAGCCCTTAATGCCCTGAACTCCTACCCAGCTCCTGGGTTCCTGGGCCCTTAAGTAGTAAGGTCCTTCGGTTGGCCTGATATTTCTTGTTATGCACCGTCTGAATCAGCGCCCCAAAACCCTACCACACCCCTACAGAACTCCTATATTTACCCCTATGGAACCACTGAAACAAAGCGACAAACAACTCCTACGGAACCTTCTCTCCATGACACCTTGACAAACGAGTGCTTTGAGCGTGCCTCCGAGGTGGTGTAGAAGCCTCGCTCATCTGCGATCAGTCGGCGGCCGCTGGCCTGGTTGACGATAGTGTAAACACCTCGGATCCTTTTCGGTTTGCTGGGTTGTGGCCACGAGCTGCGTGAGTGATCTAACCAACTCTTCATACTACAAGGCCCGTCAGCGTTTATTACAATCCCCAACAAAAGACCCAAACATACGCTCGACAAGACCTCAGCGCCTAAATCCGAGCTTGCATGACGCACTCCTTACATCATCTTGCAACCCATGAAGCTGTTGCTTGGAATTCTTACAGAAGGAATTGGGATTCATCATGCCCAACAATCTGTGTACTCTCAGGCAAACCTAGGCCGGCCATTTCACTTGCAACTCGGGATGCTGTCAATTCGTCAGCTGCCTCCCTAGAAGGCAAGGAGCCTTCCTGCTCGGGCCGTACCCCTAAGCCTAGTATACCGTGAACCTGAACCCAAACCCATGCACCCTATCGGTCAAAATGCTTCAATGCCAAGCTTCCGCCAAACTTCCGCCGAATGCAAGCATCGGCACCGCCGAGGCTCCAAATCGCAGCAAACGCCCATGCGAACCACATGTCCGCATGGCTGAAGCATGCTAACCTGCTTGATCCATTCTGGCTGAAGCGGTGATTTCGTATAAGCCTTTGCTGTCAATTCCCGACACCCCGTCGCACATCGGTGAATCCAAAGCAAATGACCTAGTTAGAGTAGTTCGCCTCTGGCAAAAGTGAGGGCGCTCCGAGCACACGGCCATCCGATCCGACAAAGACCAGCCTGCGAAATTGTAGTGCCAGCAAACTGTCTGATGTCATGCGCCATGACCGTGCATTCTTCATCGTGCTAAATCTGATGAGTCATGCGATCATATGTCCTGATCGGAGAGAAGGGCTCGAACACATGCAAATACCTTCTAGACTCCCTAGACATTCCTTGCCGACACATCTGACAACAGTGTTGTAGGCGCAAAGCAAACGCCATTGCGCGATCCAGCAGAAGCTCCAGCACTACCACTCCAGCCATTTTCTTCTTGTTCCTCATGGTCGCATGCTCTGCACTCCTTGATGCTGCAGTTGGCTGCTGTTGTCAATCGGCTTCCATGCGTTTGATGGCCTTCGGGCCCTGTTAACCGGTTTTGCCCTTGTCTTCAGCATTGCTTAGAGAGCTCGTCTCTTGCGCTCCTTGTCCGTCTTGGTATTCTGTCTGCTCTGTCTAGAAACCTTTGCACAAGTCACGTGTGTGTGGGTCCTAGATTCTGGGCGCCAGAAAGGCATCTTGTGAACTGGTCTGCAGTTGCACATCATTCAGCCGGCGCGCTCCTGCTGCCGCTCCCCGCCTATGCTGGCCGTAGCCTAAGCGACCTCTTGCTGTGTCGCCCAACTGGAGCATGCGGTTGTGCACCTGCGAGGCGCTAACTTCTGCAAGAAGCTGCTGTGCGACGCAAAGCAGAGCGGCACCTTGAAGGAGAATCCTGCAATGGAAACCGTCGCAGGCTAGTGCTCAGTTCATGACCCGGCCACCTAGTCGCAGATCTTTTCTCTCTCTTCTGCTCCGCTCGTGATGCAAAGAGGTCTCCAGGAAACGTCGTAGCATGTACAGATCTCCTCAGCCAGGGTACAGCAGGAACTCTTGAAATCGATGCCTCGACCCAGCCCACAAGGGATGCAGAAAGGAAAATGATCCCACGTGCCACACCTCAGGTGTTGGGCCGTGGGTACACGGTATGGAACAACCGGCGAATTATCATCGATGGTCGAATGTATATACACAGGCAATGTGGGCTAAAACGTCCACATGCGTCGTCGAGCTCTAAAAAACAAAAAGCTCCTCTGCTCCAGCTCTTTGAAAGGCTCTGCCTAAGTCCGGATCTGCGGCCCGACTGGGACGCTCACGCCCGGCTGGGGACAAGCATAGCCTCGAGGGTCTACTCGGAGTGCAGAGAGTTGTTACGCGTTAAGCTGAAGCGCTAGTTGTCTGTCTGACGTAGAGATCGCCCTCGGTACTTCTTAAAGGCACAGCCTTGCAAACAGTAGACTCCAGGCCAGGGAACCCAAACCACAAAGCTCCCCCAAGGAAAGGTTCAGGCATAAGTGGTGAATGACTTTCTGTTGGTTCATCAGTGTGTCATCCATGTTTTAGAAAATCTGACATCTTCAGGAAAGCCCTGAAGCCAAAGCCCAGATGCCCATTGTCGGGCTCGCAGCGCGCATTGGCATGCCAGGCCTTCAATGTACTGTAGTCTTGCGCGGTTTCAGAGGTTTGTGTACGGGGCTGAGTAAGGTTTCAGGATAAGGGAAAATATTAACGTGGGTATGTGTCAACATGAAAACGTAGCACTTGAGTTGTTGCAGGCTCCTGAATGAATATCTCCTTGCTCAGGCCTTGTGGGTAGCACGCTCCGTCCTGCTCGGAACTTACAAGCCAGATGAATTCCAGCGCAAAGCCTGGATGATGTCGTACGAACCGACCCAAAAGCTTTGAAAACTCTAAAGAGCCCCCTAAACCCTTGCAACCTAGAGGTGCTGCATTATGTCGTAGGCATGGCACATAGCCACGAGCATCGATGGAGAGTAGACTGGCGCCCAAGCGCCTCGCCCAAATGCTGGAAGGCATCGAAGAAGGGCCCAAAAGGCAGGTCGTAGGACCAGTGTCTTCAAATGTATTATCTGTGTAATACATTACGAGAATGTTGTTGTTATATGGTCCTTTTGATGATTTCGATTTCGTTTAGGTCTTAGGACACTACTACTGGTACACACATCGACAAGAAGCAGTATCGGCAATGAGCAAGGTAAGGGAGTGAAACTTCCCTTGTGCTCACCCCTTTCGACCCACATCTAACTACGAGATCCTGTCCGGGGCGCTGGTGATGAGGTTTGCGAGATCTAATTCTCGGCTTGGGGCGTGGTTGGAACAGCTGCATTTAAATCCCATTGAAGCAGCATGAGCTCGACGCCCCAGGACCTCCGCAGGTACAAAGCACCCCCTGTCATGCGAAGATCCGTGGAGCCCTTTAAACTTCATCACGCAGTCCTCTCAGCCACGAAAGCTTGAACCTGCAAACTGGGCTTTGGGGGTAGGGTCATGACGATCCGCATCACCATTACCGTTGCCATCATCGCCCCGGTGTAACAAAAGAAAAGTGAGGGCATGACTGTCATACCCGTCGACATACAAACATAGTCACAGCAAGCGTAGAAAGAAGGATAGATGGGCAGATCGATCGATAGATGCCTAGATACAATAGAAGGTTCAAGTTAAGTTGCTTAGATAATCATGCGAAAATAGATGCATGCCTATCCAGATGCTGATGATTAATTCTAAAGTGTAAGGAGATACCCGATACCCTTACACCCAAAACAACCCCTAAATGGATCAGCGACAACCCTAACCTCCCTATGTAGATCACCCTTTTCTGAATTTCCCACGGATGTTCTGGCGGGCCCAAGGCCTTGGTCCAGGGCATGAGGATGCGGCACCTGGGCTGTCAAGGGTCAGAATATAGATAGATACGTATACAGAGAGAAAGAGAGAGAGAGAGAGAGAGACAAAGAGAGAGAGAAACATTTCCTAAGAAAGTTCAAAAACAGATTTCAGAAAGGGCACCTAATTGTCAAATGTCCGTGGCTGGCTCATGATTGCTTGCAATGGTGATGAGGCTGATCATGATGCTGGCAGCGCTTCCGTTCATGTCAGCTCGATGCGGCTGACTGTGGCCGTACACCCTACGAAACTCCGGCCAGGGTGGTGTGGTGTTTCCACGCCCTGGGGCTTATGCTTCATGCTCGCCAGAAGATGGAAGTGCAATCTGTAGGAGAAGCTCCACTGAGCTGTAACCTAAGACATCATTACTCTGAGCTACACCCATCAGGACGGTTCTCTAGAAGCACTCTTTCATGAATCCATCAAGCCCTTTTCAACCCTTTCAGCGTCACCGCTGAAAAGCAGACTTTCCAGGGTCCCGCTCCTTTTTCGAGTCACGGGCTGGGAGCGGTACTTCCGCTCCTAAATCCCACAACCAACTCCCCAAAATGAGGACAAACACCAACATTCAGAACGAAATCTGGCATGGCACCAATCGCCATTATGACTATGACCCTGATTGCTGCTGTTTTGCATAATGCTCTGGCTTAGCGATAATCACGATTGGTGTTCACAGTGCTTTCTATTCTGTTCCGATTAATATTGCTGCTTCTATTGCAAGCCTGTAATCCCGTGACAATAAGACTAATATGGGGGCCTTCACAATTAGAGTAGTGTTTTGGGGCACATTATACTATACTTATAATGGGGGGGGGTCACAAAATTATTTAGGCCCCTTTGCTAAGATTCCTAGCAAGGCACCCATTGAGGTGGTGCTTGCGGAGACAGCTGTCGGCTCCGGAATCCAGCCAGTACGGGTGGCCGATCCTCTACCCAGGACCTGCGGTGATTTGCGAGTTTCCGACAATAGGGGACCCTAAATAAAGTAGGATCCTTAAAATAAGGTACCCGCTAATTTTCGGAAACTCAATTTTTATGTGGGTTACAGAAAGCTTTCGGCTCGAAAGCCACGGGCCCAGTGGACCCCGTACGAGTCTGGGTTTCGGGGTGTGGGCTTGCTTTCGGGTGTAATGTTTAGGGTTGGTGTCCGTCAGGCTTGAGTGTATCAGTGTATGGAGATTTTAGAGAGGTTCCGGCTCCTTGAAACCTCTCATAGGCAGCCCAATGCGCTTTAATTGGAGAATATGCTTCGAATAACGGTGCAGAAATATGACAACAGTTTGTTACGTATACTCTTTCATTAAGCAGTGCATTACGCGCGCCTCTTCAGGGGAACGGACTGTGGTTGAGTCATTTCTATTGCAAATCAGGCTGACTGACTTTGACAGTTCGGGGATGCAAGGGCAATCCGGGATCTCGGCCGCGAGCAGCAACAACTTTTTTCGAAACAGCAAAGTTCTATAAAGCTATAAGTCCATGCCTTTATTCCTAAGCGTTGCATAAAAAAAAACTCGAAACCCTATTTAATAAGGCCTTCCTGAAATCCGAACCCAACAAGGGAAAAGGAACAGTAGCTCCTCGTACCCTGCTACTCTGTCATTGCGGACCAATCCAGCAGCTGTCGCTACTTGGGGTCTCTACAGGGAAGTGATTTTGAATGGCTTTTGTAAGTATCAGGAGTCCAGTCACCATCCTGCCTCCCCCACGTCACCGACATGCCTCCGCTAGAGTCAATTCGCGGGCTCAGGGTTTTTTGAGAGAGGGTGAGAAGCTGTGCTAGCAAAGGTTAGCATAAAGGCCTAGAGTTTGCGGGGATTTGGAGCACTCGCTGTTGTCATTGCTCTTATGCCCTATGGGGTGCAATGCTAGTGTGCTTGTCCTTGTCACAGCTTTCATACCGGCGCTGCGCAGTTCAATAATTACGGACGCTGTTGGCACCAGCATAGATGAAGAACGATTCTCATGAGAATCCAAGGATTCTGGCACAGATACGGGCATTCGCATGCTGAGCAGCTTCACGTCTGAGTTCAAGACCCCAAAATAGAAGTCCAGCTGAAACCGGTGAACCCGTAAAACCCAAAGTCTACAGCTGAAGCACGGAAGCCCTGGCTCCGAGGCAATGCTTATCAATGCTTGTTCTGGGTTCTTCTTGAGGAACTTAGTTGAAGTGAAGATACCACAAGACGGACTCAATTGATGGAATGGGCTCCTTGGTATGCCAAACTTAGGTTATCTCACCAATCCTTTCCAACCTGGACTGAAGTTAGGACTGCTGAACCAGCAACCCCACACCGCTAAACTTTCCCTCTCCCCCAGAAGCCCTTCATCCTAATCGAAATCCCGGGCCTGTGTTTGACTCGTCTGGGCGTTTTCTTCCTTGGCCTGGGGGGTGATGCTTTCAGAACCATGAACACATTCGGAGTTGGGATGGAGACTGAAGAGCACTACGCGACGTCTTTGCCAAATTGCAGTGGCAATTTCGGATCCTACCGGGATAAGCTGCTGCAGCAAACAACTTCAAAAGGCGCAGCCCAATCCATGTGCCCAAAGGACCCCGAAGCCAGGCCTGGTTGCTTCTGGATGGCTGGAGACGGGTCTTTTAGCGGTGCTTCCTCGGTTCCAGCGACTCCACCAAAGACCAAGGCATGTTCCTTCCTAATGCGCAGCGCCACTCAAGGGCGCCGTATCAGCCCATAAATGATCCCCTTCACGCATGTAACCTGACAAACACGTGATCCAGGAGGTCATTCCTTTTGGGCTATATTCCTGCACAGGCGCTTAAATCACAGTGTGGTCTTTTCTGTCTCAGCCTGAGCCGCATGGCGGACCACGTCCCCCGAATTTGTGACAGCGGTTTCGCTGGCTGTTGCAAGGCTGTACACTGCAACCCAAAAGAGAAATCCAAGAGAAACACTACATGCAACGCACATGTGCATCAAAGAATGGGTTCACTTGTCAGGAACACGGCTTCTGGGAGCATGGCTCTCACCAGGTTTCGCCAGCTTTGTGCAGCCCGTGTGCCTACTACCAGACTGCTATGCGATCAGAGTTTGCTGTGGAATGACAAGGCAATCGCCCTCAGGTTCGTCAGGGCCTGTTCCAGGTCCTGCTTGTCTGACTTGATGCCTCGGCACATGCGCGTCAAGGCACACGGACCCAAACCCCTGCTTTCCCAAACCCCAGGCCCTAAACCTGCGAATGAAGTGCACGCTGTTCAGGGCAAGCCACCGTATTTTTCAAGGGGCGTCATCTTGCCGAGAAGAAGATGCCTGAACATGCATGAGAGCGAGAGCTTGACAGCCCGACTATGTTTTGAAATGTAATTTAGTGTAATTTGATAATTCATGGAATGGCACTTCGTATGTGTATTATTTGGTGCACTGGCATGTGTCGACTGAGAGCACCTATGCCCTACAAGCCCAACCCTGATCCCATACCCAGCCACCCAGGCCCCACCCCTTTCGCCGCCGCCCTTACTATGGGGGTCGTAACATTCGCATAGGGTTTTGGGGTACGTTATAGTAAGGCTATGATGAGGAACCTCGACGCATGGAGCAGTATTCATAATCATTCCATTCCCTCTACTCCTTTAACGACCCAGAGGCCAGCTTTTGCTTTCTTTCATCGCCCTTTTGCCGCTCGCAGAGGTTTACTTGCCGAGGGGCCTTTCGAACTCGAGCCTTTCGGAGAGCCGGAGGTTGTTGATCTCCTTGGGCCAATCCTCCCTAGGCCTGGCGAGAGGAAAACCGAGGAGGTTTCGGGTCCTTCTTTTTGTGACCCCTCTTTTCCTTCTGCGGAATCCGATTTTTGGGGGTTCAGGGTTCTAATCAGAGCTCATGGTAGAGGAATCTGAATCACAGTCATTTTGCTTTTTCGGTCAAGCTTCCACTTCGTAACGCCCACACCACAGCGCTCCGTCGCATCTTCTTTCTCAGGGGCTTTGGGCTTTCGGGTACTTTTCTTTATTGAGGGCGCTTCCTTCGAATCCTGGCGCCTCCTCACAGGCCGCTCTAGGGGGATGCTACACCCTGATGACAAGCCTTCTTAAACTTAGGGAAATCTTTCCTCGGCGTTTTCAAGGATCCGATGTCTTGACTGAAGGCGTTGTACCGAGGACTCATGAGTCTTCGAAACTCACATTAAATCTCTGAAAGGCCTTGGCGGTCCAGACTCAAGGCCACTGGGAGCAGGATCCGTCAGCAAGGAAACGTTGAGTCCATGCGCTCTGAAAACCTCAGCTCCATTGGCATTTGAGTTTCAAGGTTTAGAGTCGGAAGGGATGGAGGGCTTGATTCAAGCGGAGATGTCGTGTGCAGCCAGTTCTTGAGGGAGATCCGAAGTGAAAGATGACTCTCGTTGACCATGCTAGATCAAGTTGTATGCTGGGCCTTTGGCGCACAAAAATCTGAGGATACTCGTAGGTATGCGCTGCAAAGCCGTGTCCCCTTCTCTTGCACAAAGCCTGACTGCCGTGTTGGCTGGGGCCAAGTGGGGTTAGGTGGGGCGAGGTTGGGGTAGGCGGGGTGGGTTGGGTGGCTGGGGCAAGTGTGGTAGCGCGGGGTAGGCGGGGCAGGTGGGCTAGGTGGGGTACGTGGGGCAGGTGGGGTCAGTAGGAAAACGTACAAAGCTACATCTAAGAAGAAGAAGAAGTTGCAACTAAGCCTGCTACAAACTGTCGCTGTGCAACTTGTAAGCGAGCTGTCGGTGAGCTCTGTGCTTTGCAGAATCTCCACTATCCACGTGGTTGCTGCAGATCTGCAGATTCACCAATCCACATATCCAGCTCTGAGGTGCTTGCTAGGGTCTGTGCCTACTTTATCTGTTTCTCTGTAGATGTGTATGCGCATGTACGTGTGTAAACCCATATGGATACTCGCAAGCACGTCTTACATGACAGGCTAGAAGCACAAGGTTTGCTTGTCTGCAGATTTATGGAATAACATCTTCGCACATCATTACTGTATCCTTGACTCTATGGATCAGAAACCGGAGACCCTGCCAAATCAGCATCGAAGCAATATGAATGGGGTGTCAGACGACTACATAAGCATGGAAGTCCTGTATTTGGGGTATACGGATCCCTAACTTGCTATGCATGTCTGCTTTTTTGCCTGCACCCTAAGACCCATTGGGGCGGGTTCAAGCCAAGGCACGCTTTGGAATAGAAAGGCCGCCCGTGCGCTGTGAAAGTCGCTGGTGACTAAAATCGCCTAGCAAGGATCTTGATGGGATGACTAAAGCCCCATTATGGGAACCCTAATCCCTACTAAACCCCCACAGGCTAAAGCCCCTTTAGGCCTCCTATGAGATCTGGGTGTCCCAGAAACGGTCTCTGCAGAATTTGAAGTGTGGGAGGGTTTAGGGATCCTGTTCTCTGCGTTCCCTACCAATGCCAAGGGTCAGTCGATACGAGCGACTAGCTAGATTTCGATTGCAGCATGTTAAAATGGCTTCGCAAACAGACTTCTTCAACCAGGATGCTGTTTTGATGCTGCGGGCTCGCAGCAGCGGCACTGCATAGATGGCGTTCTCGATGGTGTTCATGGCCTGAACCTCGTACAACCATAGCTGAGAATTTTTAGCTTCGGCAACACACATCTTCCTCAGAGTTGCACCCCTCAGTGCATGCCAGGAAGGAGAACTCTTGCAGCCTTGCCGCGTCCACATCCAGCACGTCGGGGCTCAGCCCTGCAGCGAGGAGCAAGTCCTGCATCACCTTGCGCCAGCAAGGATGTGCCAGCCAAGGGGGCTTCGAATCCCGAAAATACCACAAACCCAAACCTTTTCTTTTTGCACAGGCTTCTGTCAATCCCGCCTGGATCTCAAACCCAAACTCCGAACCCTGAACCGAACGGAAACCTAAACTGTTGGATCCGCTGGCCAACTGGCCTCACCCTCTGGCACTCCGCATTTCGCCACATCGGCGCCGGAGACGTAGACTCTGCAGTTGAAGCGTCGATGCAGGTCCTTGGGATGTCGAGATGTCGAGGTAGTGTAGGAGACTTTCTTGCAAGTTTTCCGGTGGTGTTTGTGGCCTCAGTGCAGGCCTTGGAAAAGCGAGAATTGGACTTCTGCAAAGCCAAGGTGCCGCCGCTCGCTCGACACGTTTGTGCAAAGTCGGCGGCACCGCGCCGCCAGGGAGCAGCGACTGGCCCAGACATAGAACCTTGAACCCGGAACTAGCAAGAGGCTACGAGTGCTGGATAATCTCTGTAGGGCGTTTTCAGGATCCATGCTCGGTCCCATGTAACTAGTGACTAGGGTCAAACTTGGAAGAACTTAGTCAACATCTCAGCGACACTTTAGGCCAACTCTGCTGCTCAACACCCTGAACTGTGCTCTCTCTCTCTCTCTCTCTCTTTTCTTTCTCTTGCCAAAGGGTGTAGAAGCAAGGGAGTTTAACCCCTTGCCCCGGCGCAAGGTGAAAAGACCTCACCGCGCGGCGAGCAGGATGCAAGGGAAGGCGATGCAGTTAAAGTAAGCTAAGCACACTGTTGAAAGTTTGACTGCATCCTTAAGTTAGCCTGCCGTGGTCTCAGTAAACATCAACAAGACAACATAAGTATTCCTATGCAGCAAAAGACATGGATAGGTATGAACCGTTGTTGTTACCACGGCAGGGGTTTTGTCTTGATGCACCGTCCTTTGTGTTTCGGATGGCTTGTTTCACAGAAAAGGGAGAGGCAACAAGTGGTAAGGAATGTAAGCCTGAGCCATGTGCCATATGCCGCACAGTTATCACCTGAGTCCTGCCATCCGTTTCCTATACTACCTCTCTCTGCATGCGGAGCGGTCTCTGCCAATCTCACCATCACTGCCCCAAAACCCTGTCAATTTGGGAATTCGAGACTTCTGAAAGAAGCCAGGGTACCATCATGGAGCTTGCGGCTTGTGCAGGCACTGTGGCCACGGACTCCAGGAGAGCCCCTCGCACTTGCCTCATAACAGTTCTACCGGGGCTTTGTGTCTACAACCAGAAACTCCCACCACTGGCATTGGGTATTCAAAGCAAGCCTGACACCGTCTTTGGCTTCACGGCTCATTTGGTACAAGTAGGGTTTTCTTTCTGGCCTACAAGGAACCTCCGAGCTAAGCCTGAAATGGGAGTTTCAGGCAAGAAAACCCCACCACGCACCCTAAACACTTTCGGATCCCTATTCTGCGGAACCTCAGAGAGGTGCTCCGGATTTCAATAAGCCACCGAGCTATCGAGACCAAAGCGATCCCAAAGCTGCCTAGCTGCGAGAAAGCCATTTTTTTGTCCACTTTCGCCAAGTGGTCACAGCGGATTGTTTTGGGCCAAAGCACTGCGGTAGTGCAAGGGGTTTAGGATTTCGGCTCACCTGCATTGTTTGAGCTGTGTTGTGGGTGGGGGTATGAGCTGCATCAATAAGCCGTACATGTTGACACATGAAGACCAGCCGGGGTGCCTCGCCTAGGCGTCACAAGGCTGTGGGTTGCCAATGTCGTTAGGGCTCACATCAAAAACCATTGTCGAAGGCTGAACGACGATGGCCTTCACTGGGTGCTTCGGTGCTTTGGCTCAGATGCAGGTTTCACACGTTTGGGATCAGCAACGCCAGTACGACGGTGGCGCGTGTGGCCTTAGCTGCACTTGCCAAGCTTCCGAAACGAGCTGGCCGTCATCCTCCATGACTAAGATCTTCACCCACAGTGTACCTCCGGAGTCGAATTTCATGAGCATGAGGCTGTTGCACTCAACAGTGCTACAGTGCTACTGCAGAAAGGAATAGCTACTCTGGGCATCAGGGACTCAGTTTTGATTTTAAAGCTTCAAGAGTTCACCCCTGACAAGCCACAAAAATCACGGGAACTGCGGTCCTTCATCGGACCTGTGCGTAAAGCCTCCTTAGACCATTCCAACAGCAATGTTTAGCTTTGCGCTAAGAGACGAGAGAAGGATTCGTTTGAAGTTCGCGCTTTGAAACTTAGGGCTACAATTAGAGGAAAGGCGCCGCTGTGATTGCGGAGCCACTGCAAAAAACACTTGATCAATTCAACATGTAGTCACTGACTCACCGACGAACTTCTACATACGCCAGCCAGCGGCCGGCCCTTGGTGCCACGGCTTTTGATAAGGCGGTGGAAAAACTCCGACAACAATTTCGTTGACAAGACTTTCATTCCATTGCTGAGACACCCGCAAACTTTCTAGGCTGGTTTGAACTGAGCTTTACAGCGTGAAGGGGTTTAGGGGTGTTAAGTCCCAAGGCGTTGGTTATTGCCCAACCCCGGACCCCTTAAGCCGAAACAATAAGGAACTTGGGGCTTCAGGCTTTAAGAGCCTTGGATTCCGCCGCCGCTGCGCGACAAGGTCAGTCGCGTGTTGCAGCCGAGCCTCGGATGAACCCCAAAGTAGGCGAGGGCTTTGTGGCTTAGCGGTTTGGAGCTAAGTGCCCCAGGGTTTTATGATCGGGTCTGGGTCTCTACGGCTCTCGGAGCAAAACGAAGGTTGCAAGAACTAGCTCTGAGCTCATGTGTAGCAAAATGCATGTCGGGGTTATAGTGGAGATGTTAAGTTTGGGATCACAGTGTCTGTCTATATCTATCTATCTATCATGTATATATGTATTTTCACCTATCCAAATATAATGTTGGGTCCTTAACGCACGGGGGTTCATTAGTGAGGGTTCTCTTAAATCTACTTGCAGCCAGCTGCGGGAAGAACTGCCGATGGCCCAGACGGGCCTGCACTTCTTCAGGGTTTAGGGGTCAGGGTTTTGGGTTTCCGATGTGTGAAATCTTCTTCTCATCGGGTTGCTATGGGCGCAGAGGGGGTGGGTACTAAACGGGTTAGTCTAGGGGTTCGGGGGTTTCGAGGTTTAGGCTTCTCATTCTCGTGTTGGTCATGTGGACCCCCGTTGCCTAGGGGCACTAATATTATGATCTCCAGTATAATCCGAAGAAAAAGGGATCCAATCATTGCATCTTCTTTCACCGACGACGACGCAACATGATCCTCTCGTAGCTGCGTAGCTCTGGCAAGTCTTCGTTTGGCTAAGACTTGAGAAAGGCCCGATTAAAGAAAACCGTCACTGCAGTGCTATGTCTGCTATGGACAGAGTCTCTGCTTCCTTGTTCTCCTTGATATTTCTGCGAATGATCACCGCTAGAGATCATCGGTGGGACTGCGATGCTGCAAACGTCGATCTGGGAGCTGAGGCTTGAGTTGTAAATGATCGGATCCCTATGGAATCATCGTCCTTTCCAAGCAAAGGCGGCTCTCCCAGATTACAACCCTAAAACTTGTTTTGCTAGGGCTCGCGTCTCTAAGTCTCCAAATTACAGAAGATCCACGTGAAGAGCCATGCCATGCAACGAGAGAGCCTCGTCGTCAAGTACTACAGTACTACAGACGCTTGCTAGCTGGACATTTTGGCATATATCGTACTATAGTCATAATCAGGAGCCGAATGGAATAGTGTTACTAATCTTTCAGGCTTGTCTAGCAAGTTCTGATTGTCGGATCCAATGTATCGCGAGCCTTGCCCAGCAATCTTTCCGATTGGCCTGGCGGAGTTCATGATAGCTTCTACCCACCAGGTAGTGTACTTTAAGGGTGAGGCCCTGTTCTTTGGGGTCCTGAGTCTTCAACCCTACACTGTAAGATCTGAGGGCCCCTCATGTGGTAAGTCGGGCCGCGAGGTTTGACGAGGCTGCAGGGCACTTTTTGCTGCCCAATATAGACCGTGAAACAGAAGGATCCTTTTCAGGCCACAGGTAAGGTGTACACTCTGAAAACCTGCGAACACCCTTTTCAAACTGCACAAGACCTGATGAAACAAGCATCTATAATCAAGTTGTATTGGGGGCTTTTGGGACATTCAGTCATTCCTAGTCGCAGGCGCGTCCCCGAGAAGTTGAGGGGTTGGGGCCTCGGGTTCAAGCAGCAGAGCCGCCCGGCCGGCGCTCGGAGTCGTGCTCAAGTTTACTATAACATGCCATGTTATGCTATATTGGCTATGCTACACTCTGTTCTACTATGTGTCAACATATTGTAACGTGGGGGCCTGAACAGCAAGAAGAGGGTTTTAGGAGGGAGCAACTGTAGGAAACTATTTCTACTTGTTAAGGCCCCAAAATACACCACTGACAGACGAAGAGCCTTGGCACACGATCGCGAATTCCAGGCCATCCGGTGGCTGGTAATCTAGCAGCTCCTCCGCAGGACTGTCTGGTGGGCTTAGGGGCGGGCTGCCGCCATTCTCAAAATGTCCAGTGAAACTTGTGGCAGGAGTTGCGTTTCTCCAGAACCGATTAATCGGATATCCTTCTCGGGGTCTAGCTCGAAGCGTGTCCCGTCAACTGCTCAGTTTGGGTGAGTTGTCCGCAACCCGAAAAAAGGTTACTTACGGAGATCTAAGAAAACCCAGCGAGGCACCTCCTCGATGTTCCAACTGGCTTGTCCATCGAACCTAACCTTGCGGCGGGAAAGAAATGCGGAGGAATGATACTTCCCCAGTGTCCTCGCCATCCTAGGAGATGACAGCTGAAACCGTCAAAACTTGAAACAGTGCTGACTTTTTGAGCTCAACATCCATGCAAAGGCCTAGTAATAACGTTCTTGGGGATCCTTAAGAATGATAGCAGTTGCAGTCTCATTCGGAGGTCAGCTCACGAAGCTTTTCAGCAAGGAGCCGTGCCGGTGCGGAAGAGCTCAACGGCTGTAGATCCAGAGTCTTCTCCGCACCTGACGCATGATTTTGGGTTGCCATTTGGACTTGGATGATGTGAAGCTACCTCGTGCTGTGCTTCATGTGAAGCTCATCCAGTCATGTCCCTGCCAGCAAGATTGTGTTTTGTTGTCACCCGTGCGCAGGCAAACATGGATAGACAGAGAAATTGATGAAAGGATGGGTGGCAAACAGATAAGTAGATGAATAGAAGAGCAGGAAGCAAACGGATACCTAGACTGGATAGGTCAACAAATGGCTGGGCAAATCAATAGTTACGCTCATGTACATGTGGAATAACAAATCAGACTAGACAACAACTATGGAGCGAAACGCACGACTTGCACACACGCACACAGTCTAGGCACACATGCATCCACCTGCGTACATACATACATGCTTACGTACGTACTCACATACTTACTTAAGCACTCACTTACTTTCTCGCTCACTCTACTTACTTCCTCGCTTACATACACACATACATACACACATGCATACCTCTCTAAGTACGTACGCAGGTACATACATACACATCATGCATAGATGCATACATACTTATCATTCGTTTGCTTTTTGAAATTACAGACTGCACATGTGCCACATACATGGCGTACATGTGTGATCATGCGTAGCCCCACATGACATGCAGTACAAGACTTAAACAGATGTATGCCTACATACGCACGTACGTACATGCAGGCACACAGACAAACACATGCACACAGACATACAAGTTTACATACATGGATACGTGCGCGCACACACACATGTACACATGGAGTCACTGATATATACATGTATGCATGTACGTGTATATTGTGTGTGTATTGTGACCAGCCCGGGCATCTCAACCGGACCATGCGCAAAAGTCGCGGAGTGGAAAATGCACATGCTCTCAGAGCAACTTTGCACTTTTAATTTAACAGTTCAAGCCAAGGCACAAGGAGCAGGTGCAGTAGGCACCCTCGAAGCCCATCTCGGGTCGACCCGGACCTTGCCGCACCACGGAAGCGCTAAGAGTCTGATGCCTTTTCCGGGAAGTCGCCAGCGCAAGATCACTATCCGGAATCCTACCCTTGTTGCAGATCCGACCGGGAAACTTTCATGTCATTTATGCTTCAATTCTCCTGATCGTCTCTTGCAGCTGAGCCACTGGATGCACTGAAGATGCCCACCCGCAAGCGCCAAGTCTGAGGACGCCGGTTAGGGATTTGGAGGTTCGGGTAACGACTCGAAACTCAGCAGCAGCTGCAGCCGCACCGAGCCCGCCGAGTTTCTCTCTATGTGGGATCCTTGTAACTGAAGGCAGAGGAGAGCATGTGGTGTGCCAAAGGGCGGGTTCGTCTGTGTGGGTGTGCTTGCGTATTTTTTTTGTTCTTTTAGGCACGCTCGCTTGCTCCCTCTCTCCCTCTCTCTCTCTCTCCCTCCCCCTGTCCCTGTCCCCGCCTTCGGTGGGGAGTCTACCGGCGCCTGCGTGCTGACGTTGCTGCCCGGATCAACCAAAGAACCTTTCAGGTAAAAGGGAGATGAAGGCCTTGGAGCTACCCGCGGAGAGCAGGAGCCGAGGAAAAGGGCCTCCCGGCGGCATCTGCGAGTTCATGCCCATGGTCGTCGTCGAACCTGCTTGCGGAGAGATGTGCGAAGCTTCGGCCCACGGTGTGGGAGTCCAGGTCTGGTGCTCTTCTTGGGAGAATCACGAAGAGCTTAGCATGAGTAGAGGATTGAAAATGGAAATGGCGACTCTTGCTTGGAACACTAGGAAAATCGCGGCTTGCTACGTGCGCAAGCAATTTTATGGACACATCGTCAGAACCGAAAACGCAACATGATTCACATCTGCATCGATGCGAGGCAGTCCGCTGTGCTGCTTGATGCTTGTAGCCTGAAGATTGCTAGACTAGACTACTTTCTGAAGCTCACCCTTTCTAACCATGATCTGGCCGATAAGGGTGGTGTAGACGGGATAAAACTAATTGACGATTCAAAACTACACTCTTGATAATCTTAATAATAAAATCTGAGCGATCTTCGATGCAGTTTGCTTGTGAAGTTCCGGAGGGATAGTTGAAGTCTGTCGGCCTTTTATCCGTTGCGATGCCATTGAGCGGGCAGGGGCTGCGCTGTGCGTGGACGATGTTCCCCAGCCTCGAACAAGCGATGTGAGCTCGGGCTCGACAATGCTATCACGTTTAGGGCTTCCTGAAGTTTATCGCACACACTTGGGCGAAGCCAGGGATCGTGTGGGAAGGATCCCAGAGCTGGGCTCCTTCATCAAACAGCGTCCGGATGGGTGACCCTCCCCGAAACGTACACGGAGAGTGTCGCTTTCCACCACAATACTCAACTGATCCCCGGCCCGAGTGCAGCACAGCCCAGATGTGCAAACAACCTATGGGGAGCTTCGAAGAGACAGGAGGCTTGTGCATCCACTGCGACAAAAGAGTCCCAGAACTACGGCGTTCTTCTGTTTCTCTAAGAACCGATGGGCTTCTGGAGCCCTCTGCCGTCTCCTTTAGGGTTTCAATGCCTGGATGAGAATTTGGGGAGTCAGGGAAGCCTCGACTCGTACCCCCTTCAAGCCCTGCTTCTGCCCAGTGCCGATGCCTTGCAGCCCAAGCCCCGCCCAAAAGCTCGGCGAGGTATTCTCCCCTGCCAGAGTGCGTTCTGCTTGCTTTGGACTCTTTAGACTTTGTGTACCGAGTTTTGTTGCCAATAGATTCAATGCAGGCATTGCCAAACCACTGCCAGTCACTACCACCAACAAACACAGGAACAACAAGCAAGTAAACACAGCCAGCGAATTCAGAGCAACAGCACAACGGGCGGTTTCCAGGGATTGTGCCGAATAGCCGCCAAGCATGCTGCGGCAACGGCTGCAGAATACAGATTGCATGGCTACAGTGGGACTGGACTCCTGCACAGCGGCACCTGACACGGAGCAAAACGAGGCTACAACGCCTGCAAGCCTTCGGGTGTTGAACATGCTCGCAATAGCCACAGCGTGTTCCTTTCTGCTACATCCCCATGAAAGCTGGGATTAAAGCCGGATTGAAAGGCTCCTTTAGCAGAACCGGTTGAAACCCCCACATGGCCTTCTGCTCGGGTATTGATCTGTCCATACTCCAAAGCAACCTTGGAGCTGCCAGTCATCTGGGGGAGCTTTTTACAAGGCTTTCCAAGACTTGCAAGACATGTCTAGGATTTCTTCTGGGCCTCTTCTGGGTCTCGGAATTCCGGGTACCGTGCTTCTGAGGACACCGGTCCTGCGATGCTAGATCCTAGATTGGCGTCATGGGGTATCGTAGTTCATACTGATTCGATAAGCTCCGTTAATCGAGGCTTACTATGTCCATAGCAGGGATCAGGTCCATCGGCTTTGGGGTATGCATAGCAACCGTTGAGGTTTCTCCTTTACGAGACTTTCTGTAAAGCCTTGGTCCCACTGCTTTGGTGCAAAGGGCCTGAACTGTTTTGGAGGGATTTGGTGCAAGATAAGCATTTCACTTGCGAAGGAAAGGATCCCTACAAAGGCAAACATTCTGTGTTAGCAACTGCTACCGTAGTTGCATCGGTCAAAGTTGCTTGTAGACCGCCTTACGTCTTGTCGGCGAGCACTTCCCAGTTCCTGCTGAACCTCACCTGCACTCGGACGGCCCCTAAACCACCAGGAACACCACGTTGCAACAAGCCCTATTCGGAGCTCCATCTGTACTTTCGTGGTATTCCCAAATTCAGGGGAAGTGTCACCGGTTTCTCTTCAAGTGCCGGGAGGCGTTGAGGAATTCGCCGAAGGAGACGGTCCCGTCCTGATCAGGGGCCAATGTCAATGATCCCCGCTAAGCTTCCCTGTGCCGAATCATCAGGTCTTGTGCAAGGGCGGCTGAAGCTCCACGTCATGACCGGATGGGCAATCCTTGGAGGACTAATTACAAAGACCAAACGACCGTCTTCATGAGGACTGGTTGTTTTCGAAGGCATGAATGCTCCCGAAACCTCAAAGCCGAAAGCGGACAAACTGAAACCGTAAATACTGAACGCCTCGTCCTAGTCCTGAACCCTTAAAGGGAGAAGGGCCTTACTTTCGAACCTCGAAAGCCCTGACCCATTACAAACTGTTCCCAATATCCCTTTATTAAGGAATGCACCTTAAATTATAGTAGGATCCCTATGATTTCAGGAAGATTCCCTTTTATTGATTAAGGAATTTTGGAGTCTCTGAGTACCATCCCTTATCCATTCATTAACATGGTCCGCTATAAAACAAGTATAACACACCCCAAAAAATGAAAAAATCTATAACTATTCAGGCCCCGATATTACCCCCAGAGCCTGGTTGGTATCCATCCAGGACAGGAGCCTCACTCGGCTGCTCGCGGAGTCACCGCACGGGGGAAAAAAGGCAATTCAAAGGACCGTCTCAGCCTTCCCAAGCAGCAGCATCTAGAATCTACTGATTCAGCACAGGGGCCAGAATAGTGCGAGTAGGATCTTGATATCAGAACTACATTACAGAAGCCCGAAAGACAAGATACCTACCCTTTCAGATGTGTGAAATACCAGTGTCGTTGTAGTTAAGTATTGTCAGCAGTCAGCATCACAAAGCCGCTAATACACCGGGCCGCCACAGCTACTCGCAAAATCGACGTGGCCCTCTCGTTAGAACAACAACCCTTGCGACTGCTCGGGCAGCTAGCTCTCCCAACTTGCACCCCCTAGACGGACCCTCAACAAGTATGCAACTCTGACGTTCAACGACGACCCTAGACTCACATGAAACCCTGATGCCCTTAACCCTAAA